TGTCTGGCCACTTCTGACCCTTTCCCATGGGTCCCGGCCAGAAGGTGCTTTATTTAGTCTTGTGGCAGCTTTCAGGCCTTGCTTTGACCAATCCCTTTTGGGTTGACTTTTGCCCTCTAGGGAATGGGTAACTTCAGGTGTTTGATTCAGAAGTTATATTCTTTGTGTTCCGTATTGTATACTCACTATATTAAAGTCCCTTTTCATTAAAGTTTTATATGTTTTGTCTTCTTGCGGCGGATGGCAGAACCCACTTAGAGCAGGCAGGTTTTGGGGCTTAGGGGTGCCCCTCTCCCCCTGTCCGGAACAGATTTTAACCTATAACAGGTTTTGTTCTCTAACAGATTTGGGGTGCTCTATAACATATTGAGTGTTTTTTTTTTTAAGATTTATTTATTTATGCATACGGAACTGGAGTACAGGCCAGAGTTGCCAGAGGATGAGAGGCTTCACCAGAGACAGAGTGGGGAGCAGAACAGGCAGACTGAGGAAGTCCACTGCTGAGGGGAGCAGTGGGTCAGGAGAGGTCTGCTGCGCCATGGGGGTCACCTCTGGGACTGGGGATGGAACTTGCACTGAAGCAGTTCTGTGGCCAGCTTGCATGTAGTGCATGCACTGGTTGTTCCACCAGGGATTCCCCCAGAGTGACAGTGTTTGATGACATAGCTTTGTGTCTTTTCTTTTTTTAAAGATTTATTTATTTATTTATTTATACAGAACTGGGGTATAGGCCAGAGATGGGGAAGGTGAGAGGAGACAGAGCAGGGAGCAGAATGGGCAGATGGCGGAAGTACACTGCAGAGGGGAGGGGAGAAGCAGGCGGTCAGGAGAGGTCTGCCCCCGCCATGGGGGTCACCTCCAGGGCAGGTGGGAATCTATGGGGAAGTGGCTTAAGCTTCTTAGTGCTGCCTTTAACTCACTGAGCCACCAGGGAGGGCTGGCTTTGTGCCTTTTCAATAGTGCCTCCTAAGCATTAACCCCTTAGAGAAAAGTACTTCTTTCCAGTCCCCTGTAGGCTGTGGTAATGCAGGAAATGCAGGTGCTTTTACAGCCCCCAGCCCCCTGCCTAGCACTGCCAGCCAGTGGGGCCCGAGAGGATCTGTGTCTTGGGATTCCCCAGCTTCACCACTGCCCTGACTGAGATGTGTCACTCCTGTTTACATCTAGGCTCTTCCCCCCTCCCCCTCTTCCCCCTTCCTCTCCTCCCCCCTTAGCTCTAGGAGTTACCGTATTAAAATTCAGAACTGGTGAAACTCCAGAACATTTTTAGCTCCTTGACTTTAATAGATTGGGTTAAATTAGCAAGGCTTTTATCGTCATTAATAGCCACCTACAATTGGATTTTAGGGAGTCATGTTTCAGTTTTTAAATAATTTTACTTAGCCTTGACAGTGCACTGGCAAGTTTCTCAGGGATGATTTGTACCTTGAAGGTTTTGTAGGTTCTATGCTTTTATCAAGGGACAGAGATTTTATGACTTGGGTCCTATCATCGATTTCTTTAGGAATTCCACATCTTCTCGAACTAACTTGGTATTTTTTTTTTTAAAAAAAACCCATTGCTGGCCCTCCCTGGTGGCGCAGCAGGTTAAAAGCACAGCACTAAGAAGCTTAAGCCGCTTTTGCATGAGTTCTATCTGCCTGCCTCGGAGGAGATCCACATGGTGTGGCAGACCTCTCCTGACATGCCCGCTGCTCCCCTCAGCAGTGTACTTCATCGATCTGCCTGTTCTGCTCCCCATTCTGTTCCTGGTGAATCCTCTCACCCTCTGCATCTCTGGCCTGTACCCCAGTTCTGTATGAATAAATAAATCTTTAAAAAAAAAAACCATTGCCTCTAGGTTTTCAAGTATATTAGACTACAGGCATTTATGGTAGTTATTTAAAAATACCCAACACTTCTTCCTTCATAAAGCTGTGCTTTTTCTAGATCAGACCTGTCAGTCTGTTAGTTATATTATTAAACAACCTTCAGATGAATTCTGCCTCCGCTTTCTATTTTTACTTTAAATCATCATTCTTAGTATTGACTTGGGTTTGTATGGTCATTTTTCCTAAGTTTTAGAACTGACCAGTCATTCAACATGCTTTCATATGTGACTGGCAATGACTAGGGACTGGAGATCTTCATTTGAAGGCTAATTGTAGATTCCTTCTCTTCCTCCCCTTCAGTCCTTGGCTTCTGACATGAGTACAGCTTTACCCACACTGACCTAGTTTTTGATATCTAGAAGTCACTCATTCTAGTTTGTAATTTTAGTTTTCAATTCTTTTTAAACAAAGTTATGCTAGGAGATGGTTTTAGGTTTGAAAGTAGGCAGATTTTTTTTCTGGATGCTGTACTACAAATTTCTGATTTTTCAGTTAAAAGCCAGGGAGCACGGCCCTCCCCGGTGCAACAGGTTAAAGCGCAGCAGTGTGAAGTATCTGGCAGTCACTGTAGCACAAGTTCGAGTCCCAGACAGGGAGGTGACCACATGGTGCAGCAGGCCTTTTCTGACCTGCCCGCTGCTCCCCTCAGCAGTGTAATTCAGTCCATCTGTCTGTTCAGCTCCCAATCTGTCTCTGGTGAATCTTTTTACTCCCTGCACCTCTGGCCTACACCCCAGCTCTTGTCTGCATAAATAAATAAATCTTTGGAAAAAAAGAAAAGCAGGTCTTATCTCTTGAATTCCTAACTTCTTGAATGAAGGCCTCAGAATAATTATATTTTACTATGATTTTTGAGAATGAACTATCACAGTGGAAATGAAGGCTTTTTGATATTTGACACATTGATATAACCCACCTCTCACATGAACTTGACAGTAATACTGTTACTAATGACAATAATGTTTGTTATGCATAGGTGTTATATAAAACATCCAACAGTTCTCATAAAATACTATTAGATAGGTATAATTATCACTGCTGAAAAATAAACTGAGAAAGAGAGTGCATAATTCCCCCAATGCCATAGAGTCATTAATTTGATAAAACTGAGAGAAAGTTCTATAAGATGTATGCCAGGTGAAAGGCACAGTCACAGAATATTTTAAGAAGGTCATTTCCCATTAGGAATTGTCAGAGCTTAATACATTTTGAATGGTAACAGAAGACTTTTTCTACATTCATGTTATTTTTTCCCAGCATAAATTCTTTGATACTAGTCAACAGTGTGAGGCAAAAAAAAAAAAAAATCCATATTTATTGAATCTTCTCCTAGCGTGAGTTTTCTGATATTCCATGTGGAAGCAACAAATGAAGGTTTTCTGCCATTTGTCACATGACATGATGCAGGAGCTTATGAGTCAGGTATGAACTCCACTCTATTCCCGAATGTTCTGGGCTTTCTAGCCAGTATGGATTCTGTAGTGTTCAATGAGCTGTGAGCCAAGAATAAAGGCCTGCCCACACTCTCTACATTCGTAAGGCTTGATACCGGGGTGAATTCTCTGATGTTCAGTGAGCTGTGAACTACGAATAAAGGCCATTCCACATTCCCTACACTGATAAGGCTTCTCACAAGTATGGATTCGTTGGTGATGAGTCAGCTGTGAAACCCGAATGAAAGCTTTCCCACACTCCTTACATTCGTAGGGTTTGTCACCTGTGTGAATCCTCTGATGCTGAATAAGGTATGAGCTCCGACTGAAGGCCTTGCCACAGTCCTTACATTCATAGGGCCTGTCGCCAGTATGAACTCTTTGATGCCGGGTAAGCTGTGCGTGTTGTCTGAAGGCTTTCCCACATTCCTTACACTCGTAGGGCTTCTCCCCGGAATGAATTCTCTGATGTCGAGTGACTTCTGAGCTATGAATAAAGGCCTTCCCACACTCCTTACATTCATAGGGTTTCTCACCAGTGTGGATTCTCTGATGGACAGTGAGTTGTGAATGCTGTCTAAAGGCCTTCCCGCAGTCTTTACACTGGTAGGGCCTAGCACCCGTATGAATTCTCCGATGAACGGTAAGTTGTGAGCCACGGATAAAAGCCTTCCCACAGTCTTTACATACATAGGGCTTCTCGCCCGTGTGAGTTCTTTGATGCAGAATAAGCTGTGAGTGTTGCCTAAAGGTCTTTCCACACTCCTTACATTCATAGGGTTTGACACCAGTGTGGAGTCTCTGGTGGAGAACAAGCTCTGACGTCCGCCCAAAGGCCTTCCCGCAGTCCTTACAGCTGTATGGTTTCTCCCCCGTATGAATTCTTTGATGCTGAACAAGGTGTGAGGCACGACTAAAAGCCTTCCCACAGTCCTTACATTCAAAGGGCTTCTCACCAGTGTGAGTTTTCTGATGCTGGATAAGGTGTGAGCCGCGACTAAATACTTTCCCACATGCGTTACATCCCATCAGTTTCTCGCCATTCTCACTCCTCTGATGAGCGAGGGCTGTGTGGTGCTCAAAGGTGGGCATGGCTCCATAGCTGACCTCTTGCTTGCACTCCTGACTGACATGTTGTCTTTCAAATGGGCCTTTGTATTCCCAGCCACCTCTAAAACTGGAACCTTCAAAATCACAGCTTTTAAGGTTGCCCATCATTTCCCAGTTGAATGACTCTACTTCACACATATCTTTCTGTGAAAATTTCTCACACCTGGACCCCAAAACTGAAAAAGAAAAGAGAAGTGAGTACAAGCTGCTTTCCTCCTCTTCTTTTTAAAAAATATTTCTTTATATTTATTTATGCATAGAACCGAGGTACAGGCTAGAGGTGCGGGGGCGGGGGTGAGAGGATTCACCAGAGACAGGTGGGGAGCAGAACAGGCAGATGGACTGAAATGCATTGCTGAGGGGAGCAGCGAGCAAGACAGAAAAGGTCTGCTGCGCCATGTGGGTCGCCTCCCTGGCTGGGGATCGAACTGGTGCTGCAGTGGCTGTGGTAGCTTTGTAGTACTGAGAGTTAGCTCCTTGTGCCACCAGGGAGGCCCCATTTTTTGGGGAAGGTGGGTGTGGTGTGGTATGGAAACATATATCTGAAGGATGTGATCCTAAATCTCTAAATCATATACAGTGCTGTAAACCAGTGTTTCCTTGATAAGATTAAATAGTGACAAAAGTAATGTGGAGGCAACCGAATAGCCATTTGGAAAAAAGATAAAAATGAATCCATACCTTAACTCGGTCTATAAGAATAACCCCAAATACAGTTTTAATGTTAAAAGAAAATATAAGTCATAGAAATACTAGAAGGATATATGACAGATTACGTTATAACCTAAGAATGAGGAAATCTTTCTAACAATGAAACAATCACTCAAAATTCAAAAGCAGCAAAAGAAAATGCATCAGTCATACTATGTAAAGGCAAAACAAAACAGAAAACTTACACATAAAAAAAAAAATACCAACAGCAAAGTCAAAAGACAAATGACACTGGGAGGATCTTACTGATGTATGGAAAAACTCTTAAAACTGAGAAATATACTCTAAAAGTCAAATATGGGTCTCCCAGGTGGCTTGGGGGTTAAGTCTCAGCAGCACCACCACTGAAACAGCCTCCGAGGTGACCTGAGTTTGATCCCCCACCAGGGAGCTGACCCACAGGGCGCAACAGACCTCTCCTGTCTCCCTGCTGCTCCCCTCAGCAGTGTATTTCAGTAGATTCTCTTGTTCTGCTCCCCACTCTGTCTCTGGTGAGTCCTCTCACCCCCAGTTTGTCTAACCTACGCCCTTATGCAAAAATTTAAAAATACATAAATAATTAAATATCCGAGGGGGTGGAGACAGCTTTTGCTTATAGAAAAATTCCAATTAACAAATACAGATGGAATAAAGGTCGTAGAAAATCCACACCAGGCAACACTGCTGTGATAATTTTCACAGGCAAGTTC